ATTGTATGTACTAATTAATTTAAGGTATTAGTTTATTGAATTACAATAAGTAGAAAGACCTTAAAACTACTTCAAGTAATAAGTAAAAAGTTAATTTTTAATCTTAACATGAAAATCACTTTGCACTCAGAGCAGTCAACACTTTGACTCCATATATTCATAGACAAATCTTTAGTAAAAATATTTAATTAAAAAGAGTGTGATTTTTTTTGTGTGCAAAATACTTGTAATGTCTACATATATTGGAAAAATTTCATAAAGATACACAAAACATATTAGAAGTTACAGCGAAAGATGAGGGCTACAACCCCTTATTGAAAGATTTAACATGCCCACAAGTGTGTTGAACTATATAATTGAATAAAATACCTTATTTTTTTAATCTAGACCCTCATTGAGAAGCTTGAGGAGCAAGATTTAGATGGTTTCACAGATGCAGTCAAAGAGTACGACTCCATTTCAAGATTGGATCAGTGGTACACCAACATGTTGTTGCGTATCAAGAAAACAGTGCAAGAAAATCCTGACCTTCGTTAAACATTTTTTTGTTTGTGATTTATTTAGTTGTACAATATTACTATTATTATTGCCTGTGTTGTTGCTATAGATTTAGAACTTTAATATATATACATATATGATCTAAAGTAGCTTTAGTTTGAGAATGTGAATTATATATATGTGGTGTGAACTTATTCAGATTTAGTCCTTGCGATTTACTTCATTACCTTGTACCATTCCAATCATGTTCATGTTTGCATTTGAAATGTTATTATCAAGAAAGATAAAGAAGTGTTACAGATAGTACCTATAACTATAATTTCCCCAGTGATCTCTGTTACACTATGCTGTAGATGTTATTTATGGGTAGTCTATGCTTAACCAGTTACATTTCCTATATCAGTCTGAATTAAATCTTCCTCTGACATTTTTGTATCTGAATCAGAACAAGTTCAGTATCGGAACACAGGTTCAATCAGCATACTAGTTCATGGCTGTAATAATTGTATGATTCGCCTCATGTTTTTGCGATATGAATGTGAGTAGACTTACTGTGTTATGTATTGGAGTTAATCTTTCTTTGTACAGATATACTTGTGCTTAGTTTTGGTATTATTCTTTATAAAAAATTGTTAATTTTGGTTTATCCAGACCTGTAGTTAATGGATATATTCCTTATTAGTCCTGATCATGTAATTTTTTATTACACCTAATCTCTTCCTTGTATTACATTATAACATACATGCACACATTCTAAACAAGAATCTGTGGTGTTTTGTGTATTTTGAACATTAATAACATAAAAACCTCTTAGCTAATTCATTCTAATTTTGTGCTTGTTGTGTAAACACTTTCTTTAAAAGCTATGTCTTTTTTTTTTTAGTAATCTACAGTTTTTAAAGTAAAATGTAATATCAGATGGAAGATTTGAAATTTTCTGTTTATTACAACTACCACATCACTGTTTTATTATCAAAGTAAAACTTTTTTTTTATGAGAAAAGAAGTAACTGGTTTTCAAAATATTGAGATGCGGCTATGTAACCATAGCATTAATATGTATAGCTTTATCTTATCTTATATATAATTTATTTGCGTAGATAATACATATACTGATTTGGTGTGTATATAATTGTCTTTAAATGATTATGTTTGTACATTTGTTCAAGCGACTTTTACCGAGTGTATATTAGTTCATAAATTATGGTTTATTACTTACACTAAAGTGTGCTTTGTACATTTGTCTTACAGTGAAAGTTATCATTAAATATATTTTTCTGAATATTATTCTTTACAGGGCTAGTTTTATTATGCCCAGTGAAACTTTATCCTGTAAGGTTTCTTCTTCATTCTGTTCTTGCATCTTAGTGTTAGATACTAAGTACTACAAATCCATTTGTAGCTTCATAAATATTTCCAATGTAGGATTAAAATTATCAAGTCAAAAATATTGCTGTATCCTTAAAAAATAAAAATTTCATTTCCATGTATATATGTAGATGTCTTTCTTTCATGAGGACAATAAAAAAAAACATGAAATCATTAGTTGGTTTTATTAACATGTTGATTTGGATGATTAATTTCATTTGTTTCTTTAGTGTAATTCAGTGATCGCACCCTGTTAGTATAGAGTTCCTATATATGGGAGTTGCTGGTTCTTCTTTAATACATAGAAATTGCTAGAATCTCATTTTAAATAAATAAATGTACTTGGTAAGTGTATCAATGAGAAATATAAGTCTGTCTTTAATCACTAAATTCGTGAATTTACATGTTTCATGTTATTTCTTATAGTCAGCATATTTTGTTTCTTTGATACTATCATTCTAATCTTCAAATAATGATTTAATGTTCTCCACTTTCTTCTTGGTTTTCTATAAAATATTAAATAAGTTAGCCAAAAATTCTGAAAAAGATATTTCCAACAATTCCTCTGATAAAAGAATTGCCTTCCGAAATTATAAAAGTGACCATTTGGCTCTCTTTTCTGGTTTGTTTAATTATGGATTTTTAACAAAATCTGCTTCTTAGATGTGTAAATAAACTGCCCGTTGAATATAAAATGCTTCATATTTTTATCAGTTTGTTCGTTTGGCTAATATTCTAGCCTTGTCATTTACGCGCTACAATAAACCATTTTACAAAATACTATTAAACATTGACTTTCCTTAAACCTTAACTTGATCTAAAAATCCTATTCTTGACGTGTTCTTTTTTGTCTTACATTAATTAAAAGTACAGCTGAAATGCTTTATCTTAGTTGTTTAAACCTTAAATTACAATGTTTTGAAAATTATATATCTAGTTTAATTCTTAAAAATATAACATTTAGAAATATTATAAATGGTAAAATATAATGAGCTGTGTCACAGTTGCATGAATGTTAGTAAACGATTAGATTCAAATTCTTAGATGAAAATATTTAAACATAAAACAGCCTGTCTTTCAATTTGTTAATCTTTCTTTTAGAGTATGTATATGTATGAAAATTAACAACATTTATTTTATTTTCTTAATCTTATCCAAATTATTTTTTTCACAGAACATTAGCTTTATGTTTTATTTTTCACTTGTTGTATGAGCCAAGGGGGGTCTTTTTACTCTGGGGTCGTTGATCACCAAATATTTTTCAATGCAGAAGCTGTTAAAAACTATATTTAGACGTAGCTTGAACCACGAAACTCTATTTTTTTTTTTTTAATTACAAAAATGAATAAATATTTTAAAAGTTATGGTGGTATATTTCCTAGTGGATGTGCATAGTAAAGCACATAGGCATGGTAATAGAATCACCATGAGATGGTAACTATACTCTTGCTGTGACCGTATTCGAGGAACTAATGACTTTAGTTGATCATCTCGTGGGAAATCGTCATTGCGAACGTCATCTTTGTGCTGCACCTTGAGCTCATAGACTGCATTTTTAGGTGTAATGAAGTAGTTCAATTCAGGCACAATGGACATCAATGTGTGTGTGTAAGGTTTCTGTATTCCACTGGAAGAAATAATGTCAAGGGTACCATGTTTTTTGTAGTTCGCTGTCAGGGCTGTGATACAATGACGAATTTCCGTGTCAGATGGTATATCAAATCGATCAGGATTTGTATCTGGAACTTTAAATAATTGTCTTATTTTCGTCGAAGTCCACACAGATGGGTTCAATTAATTTAGAACACCCTTTTACAAAACAAATTATTTTCCTTATCTAAACTTCGAAACTCTCTTCAAAATATCGCCCGTTATTACTTTATCATGTTTATGTGGGACTGTCAACGGAGGGTAGATACTTCCGGATTCTTCTGATCCAGTTTTATACATGTGGGACTGTCAACGGAGGATAGATACTTCCGGATTCTTTTGATCCAGTTTTATACATGAGGGACTGTCGACGGAGTAGAGACACTTCCGGATTCTTCTGATCCAGTTTTATACATGTGGGACTGTCGACGGAGTAGAGACACTTCCAGATTCTTCTGATCCAGTTTTATACATGTGGGACTGTCGACGGAGTAGCGACACTTCCAGATTCTTCTGATCCAGTTTTATACATGTGAGACTGTCGACGGAGTAGAGACACTTCCGGATTCTTTTGATCCAGTTTTATTATTGCCCATCTACAGAGTAATTGTGAATGCAGTATAGGCATTTTCAAACATACTTTTCTTAATTGAAGGATTCCAGACTCACCGCGAAAGCCTCGTCTTTGTTTTTTGCTGATCTGGTATTTACATCTCTTCAAATGGTTGAATACCAATAATCTTAAGCTCAGGTTTTTAATTTTATAAAAATTCTTGATTAGTTCATATTATATAGATCAGAAATATTAATAAAGTATATAATAAATCAAATGTATAAAATGTTTTCTCCAAGTATTTTAAACAAGCTGAAATACCCATCAATTGGCGGAGAATGTTTAAACATAATTAAAACAATAGAAGTTTAACAGCAATCATATATTTCAAAGTAATAACTTAAACATAAACTTTATCTACAAATTGTAAAAGTATAACGAAGCTTCTTCATAAACAACATTTGCAAATTGCTTACCATCTATCAAATATGGCCAGGTGGTTAAGGCGCTCGACCCGCAATCTGAGGGTCGCGGGTTCGAATCCCCGTCACACCGAACATGCTCGCCCTTTCAGCCGTGGGGGCGTTATAATGTGACCGTCAATCCCACTATTCGTTG